ACTTGTGGGTTATTTTGGAGATACCTTGGTTTTCTTTTTTTTTTTTCATTTGTTGGAATGCAGCAGATAAAAGACAATTATGTATCTTTTCAATCTGTAACATAAATAAAAGTGTAATATAAGCAAACGGAGACCATAATTCATGAAATCCATGAGTGCTCTTGTTATGGCTATGTTCTTCAATGTAAGAACCTTTGATTTAACTTACATACATTGACCACGTAGTAGATATCTAAGCGTGCAACTGATGCAAAGAAAAAGAACCATGCCACTGTCCCATGCCTCTCATTGCAATCAGTGGGAATATATCGTAGCATACTGATTTCCAGTACTCGAGTTGTGCTGAACAGATTATCAACCATACGTGAGAATAAGCCGTGTGGATGCTTACAGCCCAATCTTGTGAAGAACTGCAAGTTAAAACACTCTTAAAAGTCATTTAACTGAGCTACGACTGATCCTTGGTGCAGCATTGGTTTAAATTCTGACGCAGCTTTTGCATTGAGATCCAACCAAGGCTTTAGTCCTGCAGATCAAGCAGTGCTTGCTTTCATCTGGTTGGTATTTGCTATTATTTCAATGTTAAATACCTTTCTCGGATGAAAGGCAGCTTGGCACATGGTAGTCTGGTTTCCAGTTACCCACTGTTACTACAAATCCCTCTTTACAAACTTCTGTACTTCTCTGTGTTGCATAGCTTCATCCTCCTCCCATTCAGTAAAGCACTGATGCCCAAGCAAGGTCCCAGCTTCAACACACTACTAATCAGATCATAACTCTGAGAAATTCAGCTGCTAATTTTTGGTGTCAAGCTCACAAGAAGAAAACAGAGACACTGCATTAGTGTCCTGGAATGTTCAACTCATTCTTACATACCAATCTTGTACTTTTCTGGAGTCCTATAAAGGAACATCTGAAGCATGAGATAACAGAATATACAGTATAGTTAAAAGGACTTCTCAGACTTTAACCACACTTTTTGAGTGATTATTTGCATTGTTTAAAATAATTTTT